CGGAAGTTCAGCTTGAGCCAATGTATGGGTGGCAGTTATGAAAAGAAGTCTATCTTGAAATTCCACCATTTCACCTTCGTATTTTAGTACCCCTTCGGTTAACTCCCGTATCCCCGACGAGATCTCGTACGAGCTCATAATGTCCAAACATGGCGGGAATTTTTCTTTCAGCATTGTGACCCACTTGACCTTGGGCATGATAATAGGAAGAATTTCAATCTCCCACTGGACATCAAGTCCACAAGCTTGTAGTTCACGCACTATTTTCATATACGGAGCATAATTTTCAGCAATGCGTTGTTTGGCATCATGGAACAAAGGAAGTGTACTTCCCGGTCTCACAATGATGAGCATTTTACCCAACTCACTTACACATTTCATGATGTTTGCATATGTCTCTTGGGAGTATTCCAAATACTGCACGCCGTCATTCAACATTACTTTATCAAACGGCGGAGTGCCTCTATATGACTTTTTTGCAATATCGTTGAAGTATTATGATGGTGAGATATTTAACTGGTATGATAGGCGTTAGCTTCACGTCGTTCTCTGATGAGCTGATCCCCTGTTGTTCAATGAATTCAAGAAAAATAATGCTAATTTATCTTTTTACATAACACATTTTTTGTTGATTTCTCATACAAAACATACTTTTATTGCATAAATGATATATTTGTGTCGCTTTCTATGATCAAATATGTTACTTTGCTCCCCTCCTTAGTTTATATGAGGCATGTGTTTTCACTAAAGCCCATGTATGAGGAAAGGGGTTACTTCCTGCGAAAGCTATTTGGATTTTGATATAATAGCTTTCCCACGGAGCATTTGGACAGCTCAGTGATCGTGACCTTTGAAATCGAATTAAGTAGATCCGCGGCTTACTTTTGGTCTCTAACTGTGTCTTACATCAGTATCATCAATCCGTGTAAGTATTGGAGCGCTGGAGTACTTCTTTTTCGATCAAGACTTGTAATTGTTAGGTCGAGTGAATCGTTTTACTGCCAAATTCCAATATGGCGGTTTCTGCTCGGACATTTTCGTAAATCTCCGGAGGTTGTCCGAACCTAACTAATTCTCAAAATTCATTTCGTTCGTTGCGTATCTCGCACCTAGCAAACCGCCATATTGGAAATAGGTCTGTAAAACTTTAACTCGATGAACAATTTACAAGTCTTGATCGAAAAAGAAGTACTCCAGCGCTCCAATACTTACACGGATTGATGATACTGATGTAAGACACAGTTAGAGACCAAAAGTAAGCCGCGGATCGACTTAATTCAGTTTCAAAGGTCACTATTGATCAGCTGTTCACTTCTCCGTTTGAGAGCCATAAGTTTCAAAATCTAACATGGCTCTCGAAGTGAGTAAGAAAGGGGGAGGTGGCTTATATGAATACGGTGTGGTTTCCGAATGCCTTGGCCTTGCCCAAGTCGCTATTTTTTACTTATTTGATCTTGAATTATTACCAAAATATACAGCTGCAAAAACATGAAATTAAAGGTCCGTGTGCAGTATGGCAAGTCATTCTAGAAATGTTTACGCATTTTGTGGCATAATGCAGTCACTGCACGTCTGTTTTCAAACCCTTAAATATTCCCAAAAGTATAATTTGACACTGAATTGGTTATTGTAAACCTAGAAATAAGGATATTCTTCATTTTGAAATTGATGTCATGAAATTAATAAATGACACCTTAGGGATGAAAGGGTTAATATGTATTTTTGCACTCACCAAAAATACTTTTGGAGTTGTGATTCTGAAAGCTGACACTCCCAATGGTGTTTTGAAATCTTAGTGCAGATGAAGCCTTTTATTTGACCCTAGTTTTCACTACTATTAAACATGGATTGAGATGCGTTTATAATTACGTACTTCAAAAAACAAACTGCGAAACGAAAATTATCGAAATACGTATCCGTAAACGTAACGGGATACGGATGGAGATACGTATTAGCTAATTCGTTTTGCGAAACCTCTCTAATGTATCGTGGGACACCTAGTGGAAAGGTGAATAGTAGTAGACGAGGGCAAATGCATAAGCACCCGGCCGTATATCTGACACTTCAAGATGTTATACCTGCATCAGATGAATGTTTTGAATACCATATAAAATAATATTCTTAAATGACATACACACGGGAAGGTTTAAAAAGTCTCAGATTATATATTTTAAATGATTCCAGACATAGGCAATGAGTTGAATTGTCAGTTTTATATTCATGTTTTACCAATAATGGCACTGCTCAGTTCATTATAAAATGTGTCTGAACATTCGCCAGAGTTGATGATGCCTTGATCCCTATGTTACGTAGTATGAGAAAACCCCTGTACACATGGACGCTACGAAAAAGTCATTGCATACGTCATGTGATAGTCGCATTGTCATAAGTATAGTAGGAGCGGTTACTTTATACACAAAAAACACGCATACGTAGCTAGCGATCGCAAATATGAAGATTGCTTTGAGCTGGACAATTGCAGTTTTACTATTAAGCACTGAGGTTAACCTCACTCGTGAGTATTTTAATACAGCAAAAAGTAGTACACGATGTGTTAAATGTCAAATTATTTTGAAACTAAGATGTTTAAGGCAATATGCAATATGAAAATGATGGGATTTTTGACAAAAAAAATTGTTTTTTATGGCATACTTGAACTCGGATTACAGCACATATAGCAAATTGATTGTGGTGATATTTTCCAGCCTCTGAATAAATTATGTTTGCGATTATTTCTTAAAATGGCAATGTTAGATATGTGTTACCCATGAAATGAAATTACTTTTACTCTGCATATATTTTTTGTCAAATATGTATCCTCCAACACACTGGTTTAATTAACATTGTCGATTTTATTATTATTATATCTTTTATTGACAATTTATATCAGTAACATGATACATTAGTCACTAAAACACTACAAATTACTACTACAACTATTCTAACTACAAATAATAATTATTATACAGTGTGATGCACACTATTAAACATATACACTTAAATTTTGAATCCATGATATATAAATTTTCCAATGTATAATTGAACATTCAAGTGTTCAGTAGCCATTAACCTTTTAAAAATATCTGGGTCATCACAATCAAAACTTGGAATAATTTCTTTTAATTGATGCATCATTTGTTGAAAAACTACGCCAAAAAGTGCCTTCGCCTAATACCTTTGAAATGACATACAACGAAAATATTTGACAAAATATTGCTATTTCTGTTGTGAATTTAAGTATGCTGTCCCTATTATACATTGGTATCCTTCAAAGGTTAAGATATCACTATGCACATATCTGATTTCGAATGATTATTTTAGAAATGAATCTAACCGAAAGAAGTGTTTAAATGATTGTTATATAAATCCTTGATTATTACATTTAATTTGCTAGCAAAATGCATGTGTTAAGCATGTGTCGGAGGATACAAATATTTGATTATTAAACATAGTAAAAAATGTTCTATTTTATGAGTAAGAAATATCAAACAATCCCTTTTGGAAACTTGTCGCAGATGTATTTTACTAACATGTTGGAACATATCAAAACAATTAATACATTACATAATATAAACTCATAGTTTATATTAGCCGCAAAAACAAAACACTTTTTCCAAAAATTCATTACTAAATCTGTTTCCAAGAAAAATCAAGCAATTCTTAACATATCTCTATGGCCACGATTACCCATTGTGTTGGCAACAAAATAGCTCTGGCAAAGTGAGAATAAATCAAAAGGAGTGGTATCGATATGGAGAACTGAATTCAACAATGTTTTTCTCTTAAACCAATCATTGAAAACATTCTGTAAAAAAACACGGTCTTTTATGTTATGTTGACTGATTGACAAATATCTAAGGCGAAAATTATTTAGAAATATTGTATATAACTGTTTTTGTTAACATTTTTTGTTTTTTTAGTGCAATTGTTTTTGCTCCTTTCTACCAATTCTTGAGGATGAAATAAAATGTCTTTCCGAACTTGTTTGAACAGAATAGCATATACAACATCTTTTTAGACCTTTCAATATTATAGTAATACAAAGGAATTTTTGGTTGATTTTAAAAAAAAGTATTCAAAATATTAAAAAAAAATCCCCCCAAAATAGATAAAAATCAAGATAAACCTTTTATTTCATTAACAAGATACTTTTTCAAAATCAACCAAAATTTCCTTTGTACATGACAATTACAATATTGAGAGACCTAAACATGTTGTGTTTATGTCGTTTTGTTCCAATGAGGTTTGGAAAGATGTTTCATTTCACTCTGGAAACATGATACCAAGAACAAAACAAGTGTTTGATGTGTTTTCTAAAACAATATAGATGAAAGTATATATACAAATTATATTGTTACCATTCAAAAGATGACCATTAAATTGACGATGTGTTAAACTTTAGATTTTTTCATGACTGGTTTGAGAGAAATGTGTGTTCAAAATGTTCTCCGTATCGATACCACTCCTTTGTCGTAAACAAGCCCTATGTATAGTATTGCCGAACTATTCAATTTGTAAACATCAATTTTCAAAAAACATTGTAGAATATCTTTTAAAAAATATGACAATAACTCCTGAATTGCAATTTCATTTACGACGTTAGTAACTTCTCGATCTTAACATAAGCTATGTTCATACAATGATGAACAAATTATGGATGTGATTACATGTTGTTCACTTAAAACTTATATTGCAGCGATAGACTCCTGCGCTCGGTCAATGCTAATTGCTAAATACAAAGTTGCGATTAAATATGATACTCATTCCTCTGATCAGTCTGTTTGTCAATATGACCAAGTAAGTAAATATTTAAATTTTAAGTTAAAAATGAAGATGTTATGATATTTTTTGTTTTAATGATTTACACCTAAATACTGGAATTGCTGTTTATTTGAATATAAAATATATAGCAATGTATTTTCTCAGATTTTCTTAAAGTCAGAACCTGCGACCTTTCAAGGGGGTATAAATCGAGAAAACAAAAATTCTAAAAACCAGAAGGTCATATCCATGTTGTTATTTTGACTGTGCGTCGAGTTAAGTAGATGTAGAACAGGGATATTGTCATGTTGTAGGATGTTGCGACTGCATTAAATCAAGAATTATCAACTTGTGATAATAACACATCAGAACTGATACAAGATTGGATAATGGCAGCAACTTTGGATTTCGAATTAACAGGTGTCAAAGAAGTCAACTGTAACCTTGAAAATGAAATAATAAAAATGCGCTCCTTCCTCACTCAAGGTAAAACACCGAAAACTAAGCTTGTATTCGCTGCACCTTCGACTGTCGGCTAACGGATTAACCTGCTTTTTTATGACAAACTAAATATGAATGGAATAGTGGCAGGTCCGATTCATATTTAAATGAGGTGCCCATTAAATAGTAGGTTAATTCGTTAGCCGACATCCGAAAGTTGCATTCGCGAATAAAAACTAAAAAACATTATTTAATTGACCCTTTTCCATATAAATGGAAAAAGATGGCATCATGGGTATTGGTAGGGCTATGGTCGGGCTAGAATACATGTAGATGTATTGCCAGAGTCACTTAATTTTTTGATTTAAGAAGTGATTCCATTTGGATAAACTTAAAACACCATTGGAATGTAACTATATGGTCTTATTGACATGTGGATTGTGATTTCACATTAAAATTGTGATCCTTTTGTAAGAGTAAATGAACTTTTAAAGGTTTCTTAGCATTGTGTCAATGGGGATTTAGCCCAACCTTTTTCTTAGAATTTGAATAAACGTAAATAACAGTGCAAATCAAAGTTGTTTTGATAGAAAATTACACAGGGAATTCAAATATGCTATCAAATGGAAGAAAACTTTAGTCTTTAATTGTTAGAAATGCAGATCTCCTAAAATCTCTTTAAAAACGAGACTTTAACACGATTTCAAATCTATATGGCAAAAGGACCATTGGACAAAAAAATGTCACCAGCTGACAAGTCATTGGAAATGGTTGCAAAAAGTAACAATTTGTTACAGTCAATGAATGCTGACTACTGTAATCGACCGGCAAATAAAAATAAATCGGTCGACTTATAAAAATGTCACCACTTGGTGACATAAAAGTGGATTTGATTTTAACACCCTATTATATGGCATAAGTTATTGACTTACATTTTTGCAGCCAATCAAGAGAAAACAGCTAAAGCTGATAAGATCATTGCAGGTAGGAGTGATTTGATTTGCTAATTTGTATGATCATATCGAAATTCACATTGTTTACTGTCGGCTCCCATCTGTCAGAACGCTGTGTTGATAGTCGTGGTATTACCAAAATGAATTTAATAAATGTATAGGAAATCACAAATGCCATTATGTTATATTTAAGAGATCACGTCTTGTCAAATGATACTACCATACTGTGTATTGAGGTGAAATCTGGTACCTCAGATTTTGAGATTGCAAAATATTCAACACTCTTGGGTTGAATATTTTATTTGATATTCTTGAAGCAGACGATAGTTGTTCTCTTTCATAATGCACGTTTAATATGCCATTCCGAAGTGCATTCCATGTTTCAGCTTTTCCTGATGCAATGTTGGAATGTGCTCGTGATGTCGAGGGCCGAGTTGCAATAGAGAATCTTGCGAAGTACCAGAATAAGGATGGTTACAGAATAGCCCAAATTGCTTCATGGAATAGTAAGATTTTTTTATTAGAAATTGGAGAAGATGAAAAATGAAAAAGAAACATGCTTAATGTCATGAACATTTTGGTCTACAACGAATAATACGATCAGAATCGCAAAATAACTCATAAGTAACAAAAATATTTTATTCTCTCTAAGTGAATATGTGCGCATCTTTCACAAATAATGCATACATCCAAAAAACATAAAAAGAACTATCTGAATTTCCATAGTGAATGATAAATTGACTACTTAAACATTTCGCATTGAGGCATAAGATGGTATCTTTTATAACATAACTTTTAAATACATATATCACAATATTTCACACGGGAGTAAAAAGTTGCATGTATTTTATTATTTTGTAGAATTGAATAGTAATAAAAAAGAATATATCAGCAATACTAGTACTAAGTGCATGTCTTATTTTGAATTATTCAGGTATGGCCTACAATGTGATTAATTGTGCAAAGGCGGCTGGTGTTGTAGTTAAGTGTAAACACAAAAGTTTCCTGTATGAGCTTGGTGCTCTCAATATTGACGTAGTCACAAAATGGATGACTGACTTCCCGGATGTGTTCGTGTGAGTGAATCGTCAGCCGACAGTCGGAAGTTGAATTTACGAACGCTACCTAAGCAACAATTAACTCATCAACAGAGATCATCCTGTAGAATGTGCATATGTGACTAATTTGAAAAATAAATATTTTATTGAAAACTCACATTTTCCTATGTGATAATGTGTCTTAGCGGTGTATGTTTTGGAGCAAGTGAGAATTTCATGCGTGTAGCTTTAGTGATTATTGCCACACTAATACACTATTAATCTACACTCGCTCAGTATGTGCAGCAATTTCAATGATGGACGTTTCATGTTGGACCTTTCGTTAAAATCAGCTCATAATCCGAATTTACATGTTTGAAAGTCACATTAGTCAAAAGTCAAGTGATCACTGATCACCGAAAATTGACTGACAGTTTGATCAATGTTCAACTTTAAAATGACAAGTTTGATTTAATGCAGATTACCTACGAGTCGGATGTCAAGCCGTCAGCCGACAGTTGAATTTACGAGTGCTACAGTTTGGTCCTTAATGGGACAGTTCAAGGTTAGGCTGCAATGGAAAGGTTTTGCAATTCATACTAGCAAGGTTCCGTTCCAAGGAGGATTGGAAGCCGTTATTCAAACTCGATACTCCCTTGCCCGGCGTAGACCATTTTGGAAACAATATTACGTTACTCATATTTTGAAGACTAGAACCGCTGAGGAAGCTTGAATACTACCATAATGTTCGTAATGACCATCAATGCATCATTCAACGAACTACTTGGTTCAAAGAGAACATTATAAAAATAGTTTTACTAAATTGTTCCACTGCAGGCAACGGAGTATCGAGTTAGAATAATGGCTGCCAATCCTCTTTGGGTCTTTTCTTGAGCAGTGTTGTACTCTAGCCACCATCCAACAAAGTACCATTAATACCAATATACCAATGCTATGTTTCATTGCTTTATTTCACTAATACTGTATTGAACATACAAATCTAATACTGGTTTAAGGCAAATTGCACGATCTATTATTCACAATGGTCAGTATAGTTATACTAACTTTATTTAAATTTTTGCTATGAGGCGAAGCCAAATGCGGGAACTGCAGAAGAAACACGTATCCAGTACTCAGCCACTTGAGAATCATGTAATACATCGATATTATATTATTTCTTGAACAGTCTATTACTACTGCTCATTTTGAAGATTAGATCATTTCTATTTTTCGAATTTTAAAAATGAAACTAACTCTTGAATTGATAAAAAATGATTTTTTTCAATTGCTTCTAAAATAACTATGGAATACTATTATGAAAAAGAAAATGTTTAAGCTTTAAATGGTCCATAGATTGTAACTTTCGAAAAAAGAGTAGCTAAATATGACATGATTCTCAAGTGGGTGTCCGGGATAGTATAATTGCTGATGGGAGTAACTAAACTAAATATGATTAGTGAGCTAGTAGCTAGTAAAATAAGTTTATACAGTACGCAATGCAGTAGCAGGAAAACTACCAACTACCTTGATCTATATGGTTTTAAAATGTCACCACTTGTGAGAGTATTTGCTTTCTAGAAAAGTATTTGATTTCTTACTGCACCTTGGTTATTTGAACTATAATATTTTGTCGGTACATATTTCTTGATATCCTTGGTCACCTCCATTTTATATCTTAGATCTCCCATACCTGGCTCTGTGGTAATTGTTCCAAATCTTTTCACTACCGGAAGTTCAGCTTGAGCCAATGTATGGGTGGCAGTTATGAAAAGAAGTCTATCTTGAAATTCCACCATTTCGCCTTCGTATTTTAGTACCCCTTCGGTTAACTCCCGTATCCCCGACGAGATCTCGTACGAGCTCATAATGTCCAAACATGGCGGGAATTTCTCTTTCAGCATTGTGACCCACTTTACCTTGGGCATGATAATAGGAAGAATTTCAATCTCCCACTGGACATCAAGTCCACAAGCTTGTAGTTCACGCACTATTTTCATATACGGAGCATCATTTTCAGCAATGCGTTGTTTGGCATCATGGAACAGAGGAAGTGTGTTCAGACTTCCCGGTCTCACAATGATGAGCATTTTACCCAACTCACTTACACATTTCATAATGTTTGCATATGTCTCTTGGGAGTCTTCCAAATACTGCACGCCATCATTCAACATTACTTTATCAAACGGCGGGGTGCCTCTATATGACTTTTTTGCAAGATCGTTGAAATATTCCTCCGCGCCTATATGTGCTATTCTCACAGGATGCATCTTGTGTCTTGGACTCTCCTCATAATGGATGTGTCCAGGTATGACTGATGTGACAGGTTCCAAAAGACAGAATTTCAGGGCTAGAAGCTCAGCCAAACTCCCGAGAGATTGTCCTACATAACACAGCCTATCATCTGTTCCAAGTTCCAAGTATTGGTGAACAAGCTCACACATCTTTGATTCATACGCCTCTCCCAAACTGTATTTCTCATAGTCGGGTATATTTGGAAATTGGTACCGTGGTTGGTAACCTTCTGATATTACGGAAAATGGCGATGGTTTCTCGGGTCCAAGTATAGTATGAGACATGACGATGCTGGTTTACTTACTTTACTTGTTTAAGTTTTAGTGGTTTCTATGACCGATGTGTGGCATTTACATCGAATGGTGAAATGTTGAACTTTCCAGTTTAGAAGTCTTTGATGTTTTTTTTTAATTACTGATTAATTATGTTTTCCTGCTGGGACAGTCGGTCTGAAAAATAAGAAAACAACTCTTAATGGATTTCATATAATCGATTTTCATCAAACAGGGTATCCATAAAGTCATTAGTACACTTTTACACATTTTAATTTATTTTAATCGTAAAGAGACTTTATGGACACCGTGTATATTTACCCATCACCATTATAAGGAGAACTGATTTAAGTAAGATGACAATAGAAAGAATCATTAAATACAAAGTTAACATTTATGAATACTTGCCTAAAATACAATAATTGGAAAGTGAACATTTATGAATACTTGCCTAAAATACAATAACTGGCCGAAAGTGAACATTCATGAATACTTGCCTAAAATAATAACTGGAAAGTGAACATTTATGAATACTTGCCTAAAATAATAACTGGAAAGTGAACATTTATGAATACTTGCCTAAAATACAATAATTGGAAATTATTTGTCCGTAAGTATTTAATTTATCAAAAGAAATTATTCTGTTAGAAGTATCCTACTGAATAAAATTAGTAATGTCATTAATTATTCATCAAGTTTTTGTCAGTCGTGTTATTCATGAAACATTAGACTGTATAATGAAAGAACAAGTACAAAAGAACAAGCAATACATATGTGAAAGTCCATATGTACATGATGTATTGATAATTATAGTTTTATGTACCATCATTTTAACATTCAGAGATACACACGATATTGTAAACAGGTTGACTGCAGTATCATATTTTATGAACGTTAATTTCTATCCACATTTATAGTAATTTTATAGGTAAAGACCGTCTGCAAATAGTGTTTTGGATTGTTTTGGCACTGCCATTTCATCTCTCTGTGTGGATGTATTTCAAACATAGCAGAAATAAACACTTTGAGAGAGGTTTAATGTAAACATGATCGAGCCATTATCATATTATATACGATCTCTTCATCCCAGATAAAATGTATATAACGGGGTCCTAGACGTGCACTGAATGCTGCATCCTTCTTCAACGGACTTCATTTATGCTTAAATTCAGATATAGAAAGAAGTGAAATACCCTTGGACCAAGGATGTGACTTAAGGGAAGTTTCATTAGTGATTTGATAAGACAATGCTTTACTTTTTAAATTATCTAATATGTCATCTATATTTAATGATTTTCTCCAGTTTTTATAGTGTATATTCTTAGATTTTAGTATGATTATACAGAAATTGATAAATGACATTTTTATTGACGAAGGATGTACATGTACCGTGTATCTCCTAAAAACGTTCTTGGTGTTAGAGCTTACGAAGATAAAACGTTGATCTCCTTTGAGGAAGCAAAATCATACTTTTCGAATGGTAGTAAATACTATAGTATTGGGGAATCTGTACTTCTGTATACAGAGTAATCAATGTTCTATTCATAGCTAGAGGCTCAGACAGGCAAATTAATCGTAAAACAATGTTTGTGTTAAATTACATTTTGTTATTAATTTATTACAAAGTACTTGTGCAATAAAATACATCTAACACGTTCTCTATTGGACTATATTGCTTGAAATTTAATGGTTCAAAAAGCAAACAAATATATTTGACATGACGGTTAGCAGTACATGTATTCAATAGCATTTAACTTCATTACAAGTAAGCTTTACAAGTATATTCGATTCAAGTTGATTCAAATGATGTAAGTCAGAAATAAACTTCTAATTTTAAACCAATACTTTTTCGTTTATTTTGACTCACCTTGTATCTCGGAAGATTCAATCATTTACATCATCAAATAGTCCGTATATAGGGTCATATTGGTGACAGTAAATAATGTCAGCGTTGATGATATGTTGTAAATGCCCTCCTAAGACTAACTTGGATCATAGGCAAGTTCCAGCCCGAGTCCTTGTAATTCTTCTGCAGTGGAGCGGTATAATTCTAATAGAATTAGTATTCGATTGCTTTAATGTACAACAATAGACTCTATAGACCCTATTACTTGCTTAGTTAATGCAATCAATACATGTATACTGAGCTTGTGTACCGTTGCTATGCAGTAGACACCTTATCAATATTTATAAGGTTCAAAATATGGCTGGTTCAACAAGTGTCACGAAATAAGAGCGCTTAAATATCTGTATGCTAATCAACTCACATAACTATCACGAAATATTTGATAACGTTGAGTTAGATTGTAAAATTCACAGGTAAGCTTCCTAATCGAGACTTGAAGATAACTAGATAAATAAATCATGGTTGATAAACAATGCTTCATTACCAAAATGTCCTGAGGGATAAACATCCCCGTCTATACCATGTTCTAGTAGCCAGCCTCGTTACTCGCGATCAACCATGTCCACACCCGGTGATCGTGAAAATGGGACGGAGGGGGGGGGGGGGGCAAGCAATTTCTGGTAAAAAAATGAACAAATCTGCAAAAATTATTTTTTCAAGAAAAGGTTTATGATTTAATTGCTAAACGAATAGGCGCACGGTATGGTAAAATATGTCGCGTATTCTACGAATTTTTTTAGCCGATTCTCTTCTTGGGTATAAGATCTATTAAAAAAGGCGCGACGCCACCAACGTGCAAAAGTCAATGTTTTTCCTTTAAATCAAGCATCAACGGTCTACACAACCTGCAATAAATATTTGTAAGTGACATTATCATCATAAAATTAATGACCTTAATGACATTACAAAATACGTTTCCATACGTTGTATAAAAAATAATCGAAAATAATTAAAATGGGACGGAGGGGGGGGGGGGAGGGGACGGAGGGGGGAGTAAAATGTCTATACGACATGATGAGAGATGTTACTTCACTTTATATCCAAATTTTCCCATTTTCTCCTCAATTACAATGGGTTAGGAATTGATAACAAGTTGTATTCGTAGTTAGATTTATTTAGGATTATCAAAATCTTGGAGGAGAGCGTTTATCTTTTTATGTATATAATAGTTTTTATTTTTTGAAGACTTATCATAAAAATGTAGACATCGCATCATATTTCTATTTGGACATGCAAGTTTTCGAGTAAGCAGTTACTAAAGCAGTTTCATTATTAACCTCACTACCAGATATCTAGTATATGTTAATATTTTTGATTATGTTGGTCTTCAGCAGATGTAGAATTTAGACTAAATAATCTGCCAGGAAGTTTCCCAATTAGTGTACCCAATCGTACCATGGGCACATCGCCTATTACGCCAAATACTGTACTGTACTTTGCATATATTTTCTCACATTAAGTGTAATATATGTATTTATTATGCAATATGCATCTCACATTTAGTGCAATATATGTATTTATTGTAACACTTGTCTTCGACCATACATATGCATGTGCAATTCACATTTAGTGCAATATATGATAATGGGAAAATCTGGATATAAAGTATCAAGTAACATCTCATATCATATCTTATAGACATATTGCTCCCCCCCTCCGTCCCCTCCCCCCCCCCCCCTCCGTCCCATTTTAATTATTTTCGATTATTTTTTATACAACGTATGGAAACATATTTTGTAAAGTCATCAAGGTCATTAATTTTATGATGATAATGTCACTTACAAATATTTATTGCAGGTTGTGTAGACCGTTGATGCTTGATTTAAAGCAAAAACATTGACTTTTGCACGTTGGTGGCGTTGCGCCTTTTTTAATAGATCTTATACCTAAGAAGAGAATCGGCTAAAAAATATTCGTAGAATACGCGACATATTTTACCATACCGTGCGCCTATTCGTTTAGCAATTAAATCATAAACCTTTTCTTGAAAAAATAATTTTTGCAGGTTTGTTCATTTTTCTACCAGAAATTGCTTGCTCCCCCCCCCTCCGTCCCATTTTCACAATCACCGGGTGTGGTGTCACCATCTCCAACTTACTTTAAATACGTAGGGACTCCCATTCCAAACCACACTGGTTGCTGAATGTCACATTTAAGAGGTTTTCACTTTAGAGAGATGTTGGTATGCAGAAATGTCCTGCAGTGAAGTTATATTTGTGTGAGGAATAAAAAATATTTCATTGAATGTCTATATGTAATAGTAACTACGAATCATTTCTGGTTGAAGCAAAACTGTGCACATTTCATTTCATTTAAGGTTTGAACATACAGTATAAAGTGTAAAAAGAGAATGTGTGATGGCTGAGGAAATGAGCAGTCTGCAATAATGTAGTAGTACGTACACATGTTGTGTTCTGGGTACATGAGTTATTTGATAAGCAAATGGAAGAGGAACAGCACTAAATAGGTTTGTTGTTGGCTATTTTATTATATTATATAATGAATGACATAATTTATTATAAATTACACAATGTTATGTAACACTAATTTTTGCCGATAGGGCTAACAACATAATTAGGCTTACGTTTAAATTCGAGTTTACTTAAATGTTTATTCGGCGAAATCTATATTTGTACCAGCTAAAATTATAAGTTTAGTTAATGTCTCGATAAACTGATTGGTTATTGATGACACTATACAAGAGAGACATTTTCAAGGCAATCATGATAATGTTGTTCTTTCACGCCTTACCATCGCGTAAGCAGGCGTCACCGTACAGCGTCAAAAAATAGCGGAGTACAGTTTTCTGTACGGTAACGTAAATTAACTGCTTTGAAGCAAAAACTATGACAAGGGTTTAAAAAAATTAATTTGATGAAAACTAATACGATTTCATGTGAAATAAAAACAGCATTCTCTTAGAAATGGTTTTAACTAACTGATTATGATAAACGTTTTACGAGCACTGTTCGGATTTTTTCTGAGTGAATCGGCCCACATAATCGACCCAAGTGAAAAATGGTTGTTTTTTCACATTTCGTTTGGTTATTATTTTCCCTGCCGTCTGAGAGTATGGATTATTTTTTTGAGAAAATGTATTTATTGACTACACATTTTAGAACGGGCGAAGATTCAGCAAACAACCATGCATTATGTATATTTAAAAAAGATCAAATTTGAACGGTGACGCACCAGCTGTACGGTGACGCCATGCTTTGATGAACTAAATGAGACTAAGATTGTATGAAATGGAAACTCTGGAGTATGATCATTTGTTAATATATAGCGCCGTTACATACATAATGGAAGGTTACTGGAAATGTATGATACGGTAAAGATCATGAAACCAAAAACTCTCTTGTTGCTATGTTATTGATGTTTTAAAACAAGGGATGTCACAAGTAAATCTCATCTTGCACGTGTGACTTTTTAGGATGAAAGATGCAATATATTGCATGGGGTAAAGATGGCTGTGTAGGCTATCTTTGTTAGTCATATGAGAAAAGTCTGGTTTAGTTCAAATGATACCAAAGCATTACGTCAACTTTCAAATAGTTAATTCCATGAAAACTAAAAATATCGAAATTGATACTTCCTGTCCGCCATCTTAAATGCGAAGGGGACGGCTGTAACCTTCGCTTGATACTTACCAGTGATAATGTACATGTAGATCTGACGCTTCTTTACCTCTTGTTCGAACAGTAAGCTTAGAGCTCTTCATAAAATCTAAGGAAGCGTCACCGTACAGCTGATGCGTCACCGTACAGTTCTGATCTTTTTTGAATAAATACACTGAATGATTTTTTGCCGAATATTCATCTGTTCTAAAATGTGTAGATAACAAATACATATTCTCATAAAAATAATCCATACTCTCAGACGACAGGGAAAATAATAACCAAACGAAAAGTGAAAAAAACAACATTTTTCTCTCGAGTCGATTATGTGGGCCGATCCAGTCAGAAAAAATCCGAGCAGTGCTCGAAAAACTTTTGTCATAATTAGAAAGTTAAAACCATTCTTAAGAGAATGCTGTTTTTATTACACCCGAAATCGTATTTATTTACGTCTAATTAATCTTTTTAAAACCCTCATTATAGTTTTTGCTTCAACTAACTTAAATTTCGTCACCGTACAGAAAACTGTACTACTGTATTTTTTGACGCTGTACGGTGACGCCTGCTTACGCGATGGTTAGGCGTGTCTTTACATAATTAATTTCAAATAATTAATGTGTTGTATAAACTATAACTGGCACTTTTGAATGGTGAAGAACATAGTCACTAACAGAGCCTAAAATAGTACGGCGGATTGTTCCAAGACCCCTGCTCCCCATCACGATCATGTCAGCCTTTTCTTCTTCCGCAACCTTAATTATTTCCTCGCCTGCTGAGTCTCTTCTAACCTTGACGACCCATTTTACCTTTTCCTAAAAATAGGTTTATTGAAGTAGTTAAGTACCCAAATGTATCAGATCATGATTGAGAAGCCAAAAATGGTCGAAGTTTCATTCCCGTTTTAGAAGACAGTCGACTGAAGAAAACTAGAGAATACATGTTCTATATGGGGCTACACGAAGGATTAATAGTTGGTGATAGCCCAACAGGTAGGATCAATTGTTATCATTAAAAAATGCAGGTTTATTTTCTGATTTATAAATTTGTTTATCATAGGGCTGTCTCATCAATCTGCAGCTGTTGGCAAGACTTTTCCAAATAGTGAACCAGGTCTTACCAGTTTACCCTGACAAGCAGCTTGGTATTTTTCCTGAAGCTTCTTGACACTAGCTTTGTGCTCTTCAACAACCTGTTTCCAAGTATCTATAGGAATGGGTCCTGTAAGCACAAAACACCATTTTGAAATAGCCATATTTCTGTAGGCATCATAATTTCTATCTTTCGGAATCAATGGATTGTGGTTGGCTAAGTGCACTTAATATGCCTTGTATGCTCTTTGAAATCGGGCTACTGCACTCATTCAAAGTCTCAAACAAGACACTCCTGCTTAGAATCGTCCACAGTTCAATGAGTTCTGGGCTTTAAAATATGATCTTAATTATAGGTGACCGGCTAAGAATAATGAATCAATTCTCTTTGAGACTAATATAAATTTTATGTTAGTATCAGCTTCAATTTGACCTTTTTCCATATAGATGGAATATAGATGGCATCATGGGTATTGGTAGGGTTATGGTAGGGCTAGAATACATGTAAATGTATTGCCAGTGTCACTTAATTTCTTGATTTAAGAAGTTTGTATCAACTTAAAACTCCATTGGAATGTAACTATATGATCATATTGACATGTGGATTGTGATTTCACATTACAATTGTGATCTTTGTAAGAGTAAATGAACTTTTAAAGGTTTTTCAGCATTGTGTCAATGGGGATTTAGCCCGACCTTTTTTAGACAACTAAAAAATCATTTTATTAGAATTTGAATAAAGGTAAATAACAATGCAAATCAAAGTTGTTTTGATAGAAAATTACACATAGAATTCAAATATGCCATCAAATGGAAGAAAATTTTAGTCTTTAATGGTTAAAAATGCAGATCTCCTAAAATCTCATTAAAAACGAGACTTAAACGGGATTTCAAAGCTATATGGAAAAAGGACCAATGGTGAGTTTGGGAATATTCCTCAAATCACTTTTGTGCAGATAGTGTACTATTCTTGGCCTTTTCCGACCAGATTAAAAATGTGTGCGTGAAATGCGTGAAATGGGGATATGGATGTTTAGGAGTATGAAGGTGAAGCAATATAACATGAAGCTGTACATATGGACGTGACATTCGGCCCCATAGTGTAGATTACAAAATCACGTCTCCAACCAAATTCAACATTTCATTTTTGTGAATGAAAGAGAGAATGAATGAGAGTGAGATGAAAAGCGTAAATTCTACCATTATGCACGTCTGCTACTAAATGCAGTGTAAATTCAAGAATATTTCAAGAAACTAAACTACGTTCGGTACATTTTCGAATTCCATAGTTTTAAGTTCAAAGAATGAAACTACTGTACCAACAGTGTGTATTCAAGAAAAATATTAAAAATGAAACGTGCATGTACCTGTGCATGGTTTACATTCAAGTAAAATTCAAGAAATCGCTCGAAGTGTACATTTCGGTAAAGTTCAAGAAACTACCTGCAGTGTACATTCCAGTAAATGTGATGGCAGCTGAGGGTTCCGGTGGCGCATGCGCAAGAACTACGTCATTCTCTGGCTTGTGCAGGTGTTCCAAGTACCCTAAAGTGCAAAGAGAAAAGCTTATAGCGGGTGAATCATGCAAATCTTTACCTGAGAATGCCCCACCATAGTAAGCTCCAAGGTTCGGTTCTTTAGGGCAATGGGCAAGAACCACACCATTTATTTCCTCGTGTATATGCTCAAAATACCCTGCAACAGAAATCGCCACTCTCAAAAATGAGAGCCATACCAGCTTCCAATATTACATATTACAATGCCTCTGCAGCCGTATCCAATACAATACGATCCATATCCTGGTTTTTAAATGTTTGGCATTTGTGATTTTGACATTAGAATGGTAAACATTGAACTTGCATCGTTTGCTTTAATATCACCGTTTACCAGGCTTTCAATTAGTAGTTTAAAGCCCATGCTTAATCTAATTAAACAATATGAAGTTTATAATTAACAAATATGACATGACGAATCGTTGTAATATTTCACTATATGGATTCATACTTTGAAATAAACGCATAGAATCGTTACTATTTTGATTTCTGATCTTAGTGTTAATGCCTACTTACAACTCAGTGCAGCATCAGCACGTTCACTGCCATCAACCGCAATCACAACAGTTCGTGTTGCCATGTCTTCCCAGCAATTTGCAATGAAATAAATGGTGGCTCCTATTGTTTCTTAAATTCCCACGAAATATATCTCGGTTTGTGAATTAGGGGGAGGTGTTGAAATATATCTCAGAACATTAAGTAGTTGTTTTGTCATAAGGACAAACTGATAAGGTGACCTCAAATTCTTTTTCAGATTACAGGTAGAACATAATATATGTTCGTATCAATAAATACAGTTAGTTAATATTGATTTTATTTGTACTAGATCAAGTGACTTCAGGATAATATGTTCAACTCAAACACAAAATGCACACTTATCATGAAGGCCATGAGTATGATGTTTATTTAAAAAGGTTCTTGGACCTATTAATGCATGCCGTCAATTACCTAAGGAACTTTAAAAGCATGAGTGCATGAACAAATCCGTACACATAATGCACGATGGTGGACCCCGGGTGCATTATCAAGATGGGTTAACACATAATGAATGATACAGGGTTCTTTATTGCAATTCAATTATAATCACACCTCTATGAAAATGTAAGTGTTCGGTTCATTATGAAACCATAATGCACTGTGATGATGTCACTCTTCAAATAATTCGTTTGAAATAGGCAAGCTTTTCTGAGGTCAAAAAGTGTACCCTGAGCTTATAAGATCGAGTCACTCTATCTACATCGGTGGTATACACTTCAAAGCACTAGGAATAAGTATTCATCATTTCAGAGCTCTGGGAACCAATTTACTAAATTGAAAAAAGTATGACGTCATTTTTAATGTATGTTTCACTCGTCTTAGTGTATACATGAACCGTGGGTCTACGAATAAGGAAATATTTGCAAATGCACTCGTAGCTCAACAATATTTTTTCAAAAAATATCATATTGTAATGGAACACAAATTATTCATGATTAATGAAGTTATTCGAACATTGTTTTTCCTTTATCCCCATGCATCCGGTGGGTTTGATAAAGCTTACACGCTGTCCGCCTTTTGTCATTCTCTGACGGCGTCGAAGATAGAGTCGCCTCATCGCTTTTCCATCTTTGTTTGGTTGGTTGAATTCAGAGACAAATAATCCGGATGGGTTATACTGGGAAACGAGGTGAAGGTTAGATAGTCCTCATTTTTAGACTTCAGGTCTGTCTGATTGAAATGTTTTCCGGCAACGTCAACAATTGTCTTTGAAGCTGTTGTTTTAGTCCGGGGAGATACTGACGGAGAACTGGGGGCATTTTTTGATCCAAATGCAATCTTTAAACCTCCTAGCATTGACAAAGGAGAACCAACACTGGGTTTCTCAATTTGCTTTCCAGAATTGTCAAGGTCCTGGAGTGATAAACTGCCAGTCAAAGAGGGAAAAGAGTAAATCTCGTCAAATCGCCCCGATCCAATATCAGGCTTACGAAATGTGGGAGAATTTGGACAGGATTTATTTCTAAACTCCTTTTGATTCCCATTCCATGTATTGTGGTAACAATAATCAACAGAAAGGTGATTACTTTGCTGCGAATAGGTATCGTCTGAACGACTAATCCGCAAAGGTTGTTTTGAAGACGTTGGTCTGAGGTGCAACCCATCTGTAGATTTACTCAAAAACGTTTTATTTTCTTTCAATCCAGAACCGCCTGTACTATTTACACTAACAGATATAACAGGTGTAGTATTCGATTTTCTTATGTTGTCACATGATTTTGACAATAGTTTGACCTTGTTTCCAGCATTTACGAAGGGACGAACGGGGGCCAGTGTTGCTCCAATCTGAACCCCGGTAATAAGAGTGTTTTGCCGGAGAAGCTGACTTTTCCGTAAATGCGACTGTTGTTTGTTACCAACCAGTTTCCCAGAGTACTTCACCAGTAACGCAAGATCATCAGCAGCATTTGTTACGCAATTATTCGCCGTCTTTATACTTCTGCTGGGTGAAGATTTGTGGTTAATATCCTCTTTCAAGACAACTTTATCACCTATTTTAATCACTTCATCACATCGTCTGGACGTTTTAACATCACTGGGTACTTTTGTGAGGCGAAGAGAATCCACTTCATTTGGAGCATCTGGTAAAGCAAGATGAACATGACTTTCGCCGTCAACCTTGTTGCTCAAAATATCTTCAAAAACCTCGCTCTTTCTAAACTTGGAGATTTTCTTCGGTTGTTTTCCCTTCTTTTTATATTTTCCCTGTTGTGTGTGGATCGGTTCAGTCAATGTTATTTCGGGAGTCCTGTCATGTTTTGAATATTGAAGTGGAAACTGCTCCGTCAGTAATGTCAAAGTGTGGTCTTCGATGTCACGAGCTAAATCTTTCTCTTCGGCAGTAATATGTTTAGGTATTGAGCCATTTTTCAAACTAGTCTTACCAGTGTTGAGTCGGTGTTGCCGTCCTCTCATTGCGGATGCCTCTCTTGATAAATTACTTAACATGTATTTTTCTTCACGCTGGATATCGTGCCGAACTGTTCGAAGATGTCTTGTTTCTCTATCGTGGTCGCTTTTCAGTTTTGAGACATGGCACCTTCTGGCCCTGTCCATCTCCAAGAAAAACAGATCTGGAAACTCCATGTTTAGTTTATCAGTTTTTTTCTGTCTGCGTGTCTGTTCAACATTGGCCGTATATAATCCTTATGTTGCAAATTATTATGCAAATTAACACAACATTTTAATGATTTTTAGTTGTACGTTTAAGCTCAGATTATTACATCTTCAGCAATTTCTAGTTTAGTCTTTAAATTTGAAGTTGTTACTTAAACCACACTTCTACGATATCACTCCAGCTCATATGTCATTACAACAACAATTTGTATAAATAGCCACTTTTTAAATTGGATCTTAAAGATTTATACCAGAATTACGTAATAGACTTTGGATTTCTAGCTTGATTATCTCAGAGTTAAGATCGGTTATTGTTTGACATACTAATATAGTACCCTTTGCGTCTATTCTGCCTTCGTCAAGTAGGCAGTCATCGTAATCCAAACATATTCTTACATGAGTGTTAAACAAAATAAGTTAAAAAATGGGCTTCTAGTTTAAAGCCCATGGTTAAAACAAGCAGGGACGTCAGAAGGAATTGCCAAGGGAGGGGGCGACTTTTGGGTATGAATTGGTCACGCAAAGCGTGTGGCGCAGTCTATGAGGATCGAGGGGGGGGGCATGCTCACAGAAAATTTTCAAATTTAGACCCTCTCTGGTGCATTCTGAACATATCTCAGCACAACATTCCCAATCGCAATAATGAAAACAAGAAAAAACGTGTTATTTGTATTTGATGTATAGACTTAACTAATAATTACAAAGTTAAAGTCATTATTATACTTACAAAAATATATTGTACTTTATACATTCACAGCATATATACATCATACATACTGCTAACGCTCGACTACATAATATATGAATACTTTCCATATATCTCACCTTCAATTCATCGTCTAAAATAGATGGTAACTATTTGAAAACTACAGGGTGATTCAGAGATCGAAGATGTTGCCATTTCAATACAAATGGAAACAAAATCATGAAATTCTGTATAGATGTTCCCAAAACATTATGAAGTACATGTACATGGGATTAAAGAGCAACTATTTTGACTGGTCGACAACATAGTTACTCTGGTAACAAAACGTGACGTCATCCGGAATATTTTTGCTCCAATCAGACTTGATTACCATAGTGTCGGTAATTAGGAAAATCGAATCAGTAGAAATGGCAACATCATTGACCTTCTGAATACTTCTTACTTCTGATGAAGCATTTCAAAAACTTCCACATTATTCATCATGTCCTGTTATGTAAGTTGATGTCGTTTGAAACGTGATTCAGGCTGAACATCGACACTTTGATACTTTGATGTCACCAACAACTTTGTTGTTACAGAAGGTATATGTCAATATATCCCTCTTTGTAAGGATTATTAACCGATTCTTGTATGTATGTAACTGTATGTGTATAGAAGTATCATATACCGTACTTAGGACTTTGAATACCGCCCTGTCGTCTAATCAAGCCTACGTCATGAAGTCTATAGAATAGGTTATGATGAGGAACAGTCCAATAGATGGTATTGAGATTGTGGTAGCAGTATCACTTATGAAATCGTCTCTGTGTCCTACAGGCATTGCTGAAATAACACGAACACAATGAACATGCGTTGCTGAAATGATATAGCACAGTTAGCAGATATAACTGAAATGTCATTACACAGTTAACACACGTAAATCACTGAAATATCATGGGTCGGTCAAAAGGCATTGCTGAAATTAAATATCATGGGTCGGTCAACAGACATTGCTAAAATATCATGTGTCGGTCAAAAGGCATTGCTGAAATTAAATATCACGGGTCGGTCAAAAGACATTGCTAAAATATCATGGGTCAGTCAAAAGGCATTGCTGAAATCAAAGAAAAACAGTTCACAGTCAATGCTGATAAATCATTTAAAGGTTGCTGAAATAAATCTTTGCTGAATTATCACGGTTGAAGGGCAATGCTGATATACGAGAGCATCACTAGACATTGCTAAATTTCACAATATGGTAAACAGACATTGCTAAAATATCTCTGCGATTACCAGGAATCATTGAAATATCAAGGTACGGTTAACATGGCACGGTTAAAAAACTTAATGTAAATTGGACTGAATTTATAATGCACTTATTCCCTACAGGATAAATGCTATTCTGTGCATTTCCTCTACGTTGTCAACGTGGTATCTCGTCGTCTATCTTTTCTATAATATTCCAAATGAAAATGTGAGTGAAACTGAAAACTGCACATTTTGACACAAAATGTTACTTCATCTCATTTGAGCTAGGTGAAACATCTCTCCGTAGGTCACTCATGGCAGATTAAAGTAACTGTAGTATTTTGTAATTTTATAATTTCGGTCGATTACATTAATTGAATATTCACTCAGTTACCTGACTTTACCTGATAAGAATAGTTTCCAAAATTCCTTTGCATAATATGATCTGTCGGCCCTGGAACTTTGTCTCCAGTGGAGAAGTCTTTTAGAATTGTTGAAGAGGCAGGTAGACTTGCACTCACCATCTCGGGAACGGTATGCCTTCTTTGGCCTGTCCCATACACTATTTTCTTTACGATATGATATACATCCCTGGAGTAAAGTTGAAACAGAGAACATTTAATGCTTTATTTTCATCAATAAAATTGTAACATTAAAATACAGGGGAACTACAGGGTGTCATAAACAACTGTATCCTCCTCATCTATAGCATGCGCAGAAGCTTGTTGCGACAAATATTAGCCTTTGAACCATGAAACATAGATATATAGAGATTATCCTATATGAGGTTCAGGATATTGGGATTATCCCGAGGCAAATATAATATATTTGCCCGAGGGCCGCAGGTTCAATCGTGGAAATATTTTAGAATATCCATGTCCAGTTTTGTTTTCTTGGCCATGGGCGGATTTTCCTGTTCTCTCAAATATTCCCACATTTATTTTCTCGAATTTTTTGATTGATTAAGTGGATGCTCCTTCCCTTTTTTAAACCATCAAACAGATCCCGATAGTCTGTGTTTTCTCCATTGTCGTTTACAGTCATTACGCGAACGTTACAAATTATGAACAAATATGCGAGCGGCGATTATGACGTAGCGGGCAGATATACTATATCTGCCCGCTCGGAGCGTGACGTAAAGCTATATCTGCCCGCTGATGAAAATATAAGATTTTATCCCATACTTGGTTGTGTTACGGGTACATAAAGCCGGTTTGTAAAAACTTATATTTTCATCAGCGGGCAGATATAGCTTTACGTCCCGCTCCGAGCGGGCAGATATACTATATCTGCCCGCTACGTCATAATCGCTGTTACCGTATTGGTTCTTTTTTTGTAACTTTCGCATACTGTAAACGACAATGGAGAAAAAAGCAGACAATCTCGACCTGTTTGATGCTTTAAAGAAGGGAAGGAGCAGTGTACCGGCGTTAATAATCAAAGATTTGAATAGGAAAGAAACAGGAATACAAAACTGGACATGAATATTTTAAGAATATTCCACGGTTGGTTGCAAAGTTTCTGAACTTTGGCAAATTGAACAATGTGATTGGTATGGGATAAACAGATCATCCTATAGTCGGTTCAGGATATTTGGATTATCCCTTGGCCAATTAATATATCTACCCTCGGGACCTACGGCCCTCGGGCAGATATATTATATTGGCCTCGGGATAATCCCAATATCCTGAACCTCATATAGGATAATCTCTATTTACAAACCGGCTTTATGTACCTGTAACACGTCCAAGTATGGGATAAAAAAGGTTATGTACTGGGATGTTTTGGATACAGGGTTTATCCCATGGGAAATATATGTATCTCGAGCAGGGACCGAGAGAGATACACATATCAGTCCGAGTGATAAACGCTATATCAAAAGCCGCCGTACATAACAGGTGTATTCCATACATATTAAGGTTCTAGGTACATTCTACCTTTCTACCTTAAGGTTCTAGAAAGGTACATTTTACCTTTCTCAGTCTTAAAAATAAGTCGTTCATGTTTTTAAGTCTGAGATTTTCATATAAGCAATAGTCTGCAACTCCGTGGTGTTAAATCATACAGTCTAATATATCAAACACTATCATATGTATCTTAAAGTAGTTTTGCAACTTTTTGGTTTGACACCCTGTGTATTTGGAGCCCTCAGCAATTAAGTCACATAATATGACATCTTGATATTCTAACTCTGAGGTGACTATTTGACAGTATACATTCAATTCAATTCAATTCAATTTATTCCTTAATAATATAATAAAATACAGTACATAAAAAAGGTTTAACAGGTGACATCATTTCTGGTGTTTATACCCGTACATGTTAAAGCATAATATTACGAATATTAAGAACAAGGTAAGGTCAAGGAATTATCAAACATGTCAAGATTAAGTTTTGTCTAAGAGAAGATCGAAGAGGCAGTGTTGGTGGGGGAGGTGCATCACAGATATAAATATTTACAGGTTTAGTGTCCAGTACCCAGGCTTCGAGTTATATTTGTATATCATTTTTATATAAAATACATGAATATGAAAAGTGTAAAATGAAATCATGTATACAAAGCCAAAATATGTTTCTTATATTTAGATTTAAGGCATTTGCTCGACCTTGAATTTTTAATTTCTGAAGGGAGGCCATTCCAAATAAATGGTCCGGAAAATGAAAGCATCTTTCTTCCAAAGGATTCTGTTTTAAATTGGGGCAAGGCATAGTTGTATTTACCTCTTGTATCATACTTATGTAATTCAATATGCCTTGTAAATAAGTTAGGAAATATATCATGGATATTGTTTTCATTATTTTGCCACTTAAAGAAAAATTCAGCCACGTTGACTTTAAATATATCATGGATGGTTAGAATTCTTAATTCTTTAAATAATGGTGAACTATGATCTCTACATCCACTGTGAGTAACTAATCTAGCAAATTTCTTTTGTATTAAATGAAGTGAATTAATTGAGGTGATATTGGCATTTCCCCAAATGATATTACTGTATGTTAAATAGGAATGAATCAGAGAATGATATATAGTCATGCAGGTTTTCCTATCTAGTAAATGATTAATCTTATACAAAATGCCAACTATTCTTGATATTTTCATTTTGACTTTACTAATATGATCATTCCATGTAAGGTGTTGGTCAATGATCAATCCAAGAAAATTAGTATGTGTTACTCAATCTTTTTACCATCAATAAATACATCTAAATTTGTGGTATTTATCTTTTTTGCTTAGAAGAAAATAATATGTATTTGGTTTTATTTATATTAAGAGAAAGTTTATTGGCTACAAGCCAATCTCTAATTTGATTAAGTTCAGTATTTAAAGTATCTTTAATTTCATTAATGTTTTTTCCACTGATTAAAATGTTTGTATCGTCGGCAAACAGAACAAAGAGAAGTGTTGGAGAGGCCAGGTAGATATCATTAATATAAAGGATAAAAATAGGGGCCCTAAACAGATCCCTGTGGAACACCACATTTGATAGTTTCAAAAGATGAACTTGTATCATGATATATTTGGTACATTGTTTTCGATTTGTTAAATAACTCGAGACCCACCTAAGAGCAGGTCCCCTAAATCCATAAAATTCTAATTTTTGTAACAGTATGCTATGATCGATGGTATCAAATGCTTTTGAAAAATCCAAAAGAGCCCAATGCTGAATTCATTGCTATCAACAGATTTCTTAATTTTTTCAACAAATTGTAGAATTGCCATATAAGTAGATCTTTTTTCTCTAAAGCATGTTTTATAAAGATTGCTTCTTCACATTATACAAGGTCTAATATCTTACCCCACTTCCATAAAATTTTAGTTGGACCTCATATCCATTAATTGGGTATCCCATATCTATATTGTGACCTTTTCTTAGCTTAAGCTTCAACGGTCCTCTACAGGATGATGGCTGGCACGAATCAAAGTAGCACTGTTGGACGCATTGCCACAGGTACATAGTCGCCACTGTCGAGTTACCTAGTTCCAGCTGTTGTAGAGGGCAGATCCTTGCTGTAAACAGAAGTGTGCGCATGCGTTAATGTTCTTTTTATATTATATCTTAGTCTTACTTTAAGACTATGTACCCCCTCCCCCTTTGTACTCCACATTTACCAACACAACTGATCGAAGAAGACGAGGAGGAGGGGTCCGAGGTAATAAAATAAATCATGGTTATATCAATAGGTTTCAAAGAGGGTTTGCGAGTGTGTGATGCACAGATACACATTGGATATCATCAAACGTGAGACTCAAAAATTAGGGAGGCTAGGCTATGTTCTTAACAGCACTTGTGAGTGAACGTGTAATATTATGCCCCTCCGTGATTATTGTCCCCGTCTTAACTGTTCTCTTCTCAGTCCTTACAATATACGAGGGTTGATACAAAAGTTCCGAACTGTTTGCTCTAAAATTCTCAATACTTTATGAATATTGTTCATATTTGGCCACAACCACCCAACATATAGTAGTTTCATTTTGAGTAAAAATAAACAATAAATCTGACCAGCAACATGCGGTGTCTGGTTACCATAGCAACATGGTAAAGCCTACTAAGAAAGGGAGAACTAATCAATAATCTTAACATCCACACACAAGTTATTTTAAAAACGTGTAGCTTAACCTTTATAGGCGTAGCCAGGGGGGGGGGGTGCGATGGGTGAGATCGAACCCCACCCCTCCAAACCCATAACCAATTAAACTATAATTATGAGATAGAAGAAGAGAAGAGCTTTAAAATGCAATTCATTTGAAGCTTCTAGATCAATTTTCAAGGAGGTTGCACCAATAATTGTAAAATGCAAGATAAATCTTAATTGTTTGGCTTGTTTTTGGGCGATCGCACCCCCCCCCCCGACTGAAACCTGCCTTCGCTGTTTTTGAAAAAGCAGGAGAGGTGTTGAACAAAACATAACAAATCATTTGTTTTGAATTAGAATTGGAATAGCACCTCACAATATTCGTCATCTTGATTATTAAAACCCTATAGCTCGAGAACGGGAAGTCGTCAAAAAACTCGATGACCGTGATTAGCTAATGGACATACAGATGTACTCTGCATCAAACATCAATTAGTAGATCGAGTAATCTCAGAAATTTACTTTTACATTCTTGTAGCGTTAAGAATAAATGAATGGAAGTATTTGTATATCTGACTTTTGCTACTTCATCATTTATCCGATGACAAATGCTCGTGCTTTGATCTGAGATGACGTCATACACTCGAATTCGTTTTATCTATGTTTTTCAGATTACTTGACTGCTATGGATTATAGAAAATTCAAGGCAGAACGAAACGCAATCATCGAGAAATTGAGAAACAGTGGGTTTCCAGATATTTCAACCTTATTCGTAATATACAATCACGTCGTTCAAGTAGATCATCAAAATGCGATGTACTGTGTTAAATTATGATTGCTTTTCCATTATTGCGGCGAGTGTTTCGTTTACTTTCATAGATGCTGTTTGTTAGCTTGATGATTGCAACAGATTATCTGGCTTGGTAAGAAATTAATCCAGACTCAGGAGTGATTTCTAATGATGTAGTATGGGCCGCGATTCTGCTTTGAGTACCGCATGTTAAATAGAGACATGACTTAAGATACCCTTGGTTGGGTATAAATCAAAAGATATCTAACTCAAATTACCCATTGCGAGAGACGACTGTTAAACCAACGCAAAATCATAATCGGCAATATTATTTAAATAAAAACCAATTGATATTAAGAAATAAAATTTATTTTAATGCAGAATTAAAACCAATGTAAACTACGCCTTGCGTCATAGAAAGTCCAAAAATGCGTTTTTTCTTAGTTGATGTTACGATAGAACTACGTCTACGTATTTAATCTCTATCACAGACGAAATCATAAGTCACTCCGTGTGAAATTATCAGCGTACCCTACTGCAATAAAGATTTTTGACCGTTTTTTATTGTTATGTTAAGAACATTTGTCCATGTTCAAACAACATTTGAGCCAGGCCACAGGAAAAGGGGTCTTATCACAGATTTTTTGTTTATCTTAAAAAGCACAAAGAAACCTTTCAAATGAGCCATGGCTTATGTCCTAGCAATTTTTCCTTTCATATATAGACCAAAAAGTCGGATCTGAATTTAGCACATTTTCCTCTTAATCGTGCGCACATTTTTGGCTCTGTAGCACAATTTTAATTTTTGTGATAAGACCGGTTTTCCTATGGCCAGGCCCATTTGTATTTCAATAAAAATCCGCTCTAATCAATCAAACATAGACAAGATGCTCTCCCCGAGGAACAACTTCTGTCCCTGGGTTACGTTCACTGTCAAGTTAAGGCTACAAAAGCTTAATATCAATATAATTCACTAATAGAACAATTTTTTAGTTTGACTAATCATTTTAAGCTGCCATGGTTTCCAATTGGCCTTTTACATGATAAACTTCAGTTCTGGATTATAGCTCTTTGTCATTTTTGTTATTGAAACGGATTTTGAGGTTGGAGTCATGCAATTCTTCGCAGATAGAGTTAATCTAGTTTAATCCGAATAAGCAAGCGGATTAGAATGATTAGCGAATGATTTAATCCACTCATATCTTCTATCCTAGACTTTGAATTCGTGCTACTTCACTCATTTGAGGTATTGAAACAACACATACAATGTTAAATCATCCTAGCTATAATTTATTGAGTCCTGGGTTTAAGTCCTTGTGTCTCAAAAATCGGACAAGCCTGGAATTTTTCTGTTAGTGTAGAGAATGGGAAAATTAAGAGCATGCCATCTAAAATGCCAAACGTCTCAATAAGTATATGTTCATATTCCTTTGATTTTTATCCACTTATTGGAAAATGAATACTCTAATTATCATGTAATTATTTCATTGCTTTCAATGAAGGAAAAAATATAGCTATTCCTGTTTCATTAGATAAATCAATGTATGAACATGAATTGTGAGTACCCGTGTACAAGTATTTAAAAATTTACTATTTACTTTTGTTTTATGTATCAACATTTACTTTAGTTGCATTTGAGTATTTGATCATTTACTTGCATCTCGTATACCTCGGTATTTTATCACATGCTGACATGATATAACATATGAGGTCGATTTGAGTGTGTTTTATGTTTTCTGATTTATATCATGAGTTTTAACATGGGCTCTGGGAGTCAAAGAGACATAATTCATCTGTTCCCAAATAATGTGCAATGAAGGGGGCGTCTCGTGGGATTCGGACTGCTTTAAATCAGGAAAGATAGATGCTAGTAGCGAGTCTAAATTGCCTGCTAACCAACTGATTGTTTTATCTTTCGCATCAAATAGAATTTCCATTCAAAGAATATCTTTAGAATTCAATAGGTTGAGACTGCTGGTATTCGTCTTGTCAAGATCAGATAAGTTTCACTTCATTGAACACGCCATCAAGTGAACTAGATTTGTGTGTCTCTCATTTATTTAGAAGTCGAGTAATGAAGCAAGATTGATGTTTGACACATCAATCATTTCTCATCAGTTGATAAACCTAGCTAATTATAGAAATACGGATATTGATTTCATTTGATTAGCTCCGAACGAAAAGGCGTCAAACAATCACAAAACGCGACATAAAAGGTTCGAAGTGGGTTTGCAGAAAAGTCTTTAAAAATTCAGTCGGATACATTGAAACACTATAAATTCAGCTGGCTGATTATAAGACTCATTTTCCTAGTTATCGAGATTCTGAATTCACGCTGCCTTTTGCGTCAACTTATTTTGCCTTAAGGATCCTAAAAAATATTGATGGGACGATAGAGGTTTGGTAATCGTAATTGCTCTACTTCGCTCGCATAAAAATGAGAATCTAGAAGGTTAATTAAGACGAATCGAGACGGAATTTATCTTCTTCAAATTATCAACAAGAGCATGGTTTACGATGGTTGCAATAGATCATAACCGAATGGAAAATATTATTTTCGATTTTAAAGATAAATTTCGAATGTTGAAGCTGTGAACGTGAAGTTTAACTGATCACGTAACCACAGAGCCCGCCACAGAGAAACATTAATTAAACATGAAATTAGCTGTATAATAATACAAATAGCTCAGACTCTCGCAAGGTTAAAAAGAAACGCGATACTAATCCATTACTTTTTGTAATAAGGATAAGTTGTCGTTCGTGTTAAATTTATACTATCAACGTGAACGTCACATTTTCTCCATGTATTGCAACATGGTAAACGTCATTTCGTATGATTTGGATGGTTTTATTTTTAATCTAACTAAAATGATCAAAATCATAGTTGAGTGATGTTAATTTAAATTCAACGTGCACATACTGTACATCCATGGTATATTCAGTATGTCAATGTCTGCTTTACCAATCCTTCACTTGCATTTTTATGCAGTTATTCCCTGCCTTTGTCAATATCTCTCTAAGTCTTGATTAAATGAATGTCTTTATCATGTTATGATTCAACGTTCACTGGTTCTGATAATTACGATAAAACTGATAAAACCACATATTCATTTTTACATGAATAAATCCGCGAATTTGGTTGTTCCGGTTGGACTCATACACATTGTCATACAGTTGTGCCGTGTGTATTAAAATTCGTACCGAAAATGACGAAAAGTGTACTCTGCCTTTGATCTCAAATGGTTTGGTTGGTTAGATCTACCACATTACTCCCTACTGACCGCCTCCCTCCCCAAAGGTCGATAGGAACAATTCATTGTGACAGAGTTTGAGACTCAACAAAAAACAAAAACACACAGACAAATAAATATCTCCAGCAAACAAAAACAAAGAACTCGACTCCTTGACTGTCATCAATCTCTAGCTATATGCGATTTCTATAGTCTGCTACCCTGAAGCAATCATGTCATGTCCAAAACAACTCAAAAATCTCGGGAGAGTCATAGAAAATTAAATTACGTACAATTAGAAACGACCTTTATTGCTCGAGCATACAATTTATTTGGAATATACACTCCCAATGGACCGAGCTCATGGTCAAAATATAAGGTAGCACATTTTTTGCAAACGAGAGCTTCGACAGT